CGTCACATTATAAGGCCCCACGGCTGAAAGGGCGAGCATGTTCGGTGTGATGGGGGATTCGAACCCGCGACCCTCAGATTGCGAGTCGAGCGCCTTAACCACCTGGCCTATATGTATTTGCTGTTAGTACACGTATCTGTATGTTGTTATAACAACATACAACGTTTATATATGTATACATACTACAAAATCGGAATGGTAGAATGCATAACATGTTTTGTATATGATTTAAGTAAAATAAAACCAAAAATAATCGAACTCGGAGAGAGATTGTGAGTGTGTATGTGTGTGTGTGGGTGGGGGGGGGGGTGCTACGTTCGCTTTCCTTCTCCGCTGCTTCTAAACGAAACAGAACTGTTGTATGGTATACTCTTTCAAGCAGAAGCTTTTAAAACACTCATAATAGTGGGATTAAATTTCGGATATCAAATGAACAGCAAAAATATTTTATAATATGTGTATACAGGATAGATAAAAACATACATAATACTGATGTAGCTATTTCTATTTATTTAGTTCAATTTCATAAAGCAGTCAAAGTCCATAAGAATCGTTTGTTCGTTTGTAATTCAGCACAAAGCTACACAATGGGCCATCTGTGCTCTGCCCACCACGGGTATCGAAACCCGGATTCTAGCGTTGTAACTCCGCAGACATACCGCTGTGCTACTGGGGGGGGGGCATCCATAAGAAGAGTTAATAATATTGTCTGTGTTATACGTGTGTTAGATATTAATACAAAAGACAATAGACAAACAGAGCGACAAACCATGTATATATATATATATATATAATTGGTAATATATTCCATTTCTTTTTGGTGTAGGATACAGGATGCGGATGGATGTTTCTTTGAGAATTTCACTGCGTTGTCATGGAAACAAGAAAACAGAAAGCTACAAGCGGAGAGAGAGGTGGGTCTCATTTTGTGCTTTAATTAGTTAGAAGAACATCTTGGTTGTGACGTCTTTCCCTCGGGGTTACCGTGTGCTCGTAATTCTTAAAAAAATACACGAGGAACCGAAGAATAGAACTAAAAGATAATGAATAAAAACATCCGAAATTATCTTGTCTTCTCGATCATGTTTAAAATAACATTCTTGAGAAGTTGAACGAGTGGAGTGTGAATAACGTCCTTTAAAAATAATTGACTGATACATTAAGGTTTCTTGTAAAGGTACAAGAAGTTTGATGGCATGGTGTAAATTAAATAAACAACATGAATAATTCGTTTTTATTTAGGAAAAATTTTGTAAAGAGTATGCAAATCTACTAAAAGTACTTTTAAATAACTGTTATATGCAAATATTCCCCTAGTTCTATTACGTAATGTTCTTTCAAATAAAAATGATTATTCTTCATCTGATTAAAAAAAAAAGACGGAATTCTTAATTAAAATCTTTTAACGCCCTTATGTGCCATTTGTTGTCATTCGTTTTGTGATTAACTCTTTTGTTCCCACTAAACTATATTGTTTCTAGCTGCAGCATAGCGACTCATAAAATAGCTCCGAGTTGTTTTTTGCTTTTTTTCGAAGTACAAACTTTTGGCTCATAGCTCCATCTCTTGGCCGATTTGATATATAATTACAGCCACGTCTATTGAGGATTCCCTCTTCTTTTTCAACTACAAACGTTTAGCCCATAGCTTCATATCTTGACCGATTTGAGATCTAATTACAGCCGCGTCTGTTAAGGATTCCCTCTTCTTTTTTCAAGTAAAAACTTTTAGCTCATAGCTCCATCTCATGACTGATTTGAGGTCTAATTACAGCCGCGACTATTGAGGGTTCCCCTCTTGTTTATTTTTTATTTGACTTATTCTACAAGCTTTTAGAAACACTTTCATGAATCGTTATTAATGTTCTTGTTTTTTTAAAGACCCATGAAGGTTCAAGGGTAGGTGGGTAATTATAACTCTGGAAATGTTACCCATTTTCTCTACTTTTGTAAATATTTACACATATTGGTTCTTGTGTCCTGAACTATTCTTTAAAAATTAAAGACGTTCGTATATTTACATAAGTTGGGTGTAGATGCTAACGTTTCGTTGCAAACAACAACAACAACAAAAATCAAATGGTTTACAGGTGTCAGTCTTTTGGAGAGTAGTTCCCTATAGAAAATTTAGTTTAATATCGGGCTGTTAAGCCTAATTCTCTATACGTAGCTGATATTTATCCGAATTGCGTGTTATTTTTTTTTTTTTTTAACAAGCTTCAACTTATCGTTGTAACTTTTGTTAGGCCTAAAGTCACCGGAAAAGTGGTATCAAGCTTCAACTCATCGTTGTAGCTTTTATTAGGCCTAGGGCCTCCGGAAAAGTGGTATCAAGCTTCAACTCATCGTTGTAGCTTTTATTAGGCCTAAAGTCTCCGGAAAAGTGGTATCAAGCTTCAACTCATCGTTGTAGCTTTTATTAGGCCTAGGGCCTCCGAAAAAAGTGGTATGTTAAGATTTTAGGAAAATAAATTTCCGTCTTTATGAAGGTGAAGTGAAGACAAATGGTCAAACCAGTACAGCCTTGGAATCCACTCAACAGCTATATTCTATAAAATCATATGATGTTAAACTTGTCCTGTTGCACTTGCCAATTTTGTTAAATAATTAATTCAAATGATGAAGTTATAAAATGTTGGTTTAAATTAATGTAATTTTGTGATTTTTTTATGGCATAGCCATTCCACCGTAATTTTAACAGTTTTTTTTTATGGCATAGCCATTCCACCGTAATTTTAACAGTTTTTTTTTTATGGCACAGCCATTCCACCGTAATTCTAACAGGATTCTTAGGAGAACCTTATCGTCACATATTTATATTTGTCTCAGTTTATAAACACTCTGTTACGAGAACTAGTTGTTTGAAAATAGGTAAGGTTTTTATTTTTTCTCAGACGGTTTTACTTTATTAACATTTTCCTTTTTTTGTTTTTTTAAAGGTTAAAGACATTTTCATAACTTTTAACCTGAGCATAATACTTCATAGCATAGTTCATCGGAAATGTGTACATGTGAAGAAAAAAACAACACCTGTACCTGTATAATTTATACTCACAGGTAAAGTATCAAAGTAAAAGAATTACCAAGCATGCATTTGTTCGCAATTGTTAAGTGGAGTTTTGCTAAGAAGGGGAAACACGTTTTTATGAAACAACCTATCTATAGCCTCTCTCAAGTTCCATTTCAAGTCCAATTTGTCTAGAATCCGTGTTCTACTAATGTAAGTACAGTTACAGTTCGTGTTATTTGGTATTTATAAATGTAAATGTCTTCATAAATTATGTAACGCTAAAGGGCTGTGGACAGTCACTAATGTGCTAAATGTTCATGTTTCTGATCAGATTATATTCCGTCCTCTCTTTGTATTCAATATGCTGAGGAGAAATACAAGAAACTCAGTCAGAGTGCGTGTCAGTGTAACAGGAATTATCTACACGTTCTCCCTCTCTCTCCTCTCTATATATATATATGTTAATATCCATATTTGTTTATTTATGTACAAGATCTATTTAGCAATCTTTACCTTCGTCTATAAGATATTAGTAAATCAACCAACTGTACTGGATGCTAAAAAAGATCCCAAGTATCACAAAAATAACATACACGTAACTTACACATCTAAACATGTGTATTGAGTAAGTTCGCTCAATTATAGGATTAGGGAAGTGGAATAAGTAAAGGGTAATATTATTTAATAAATAAATACGGCTAAAGATCTTAGAATATCAGAGTTAAAGATCGTTAGAAGAAGAATTTTCAGATATTTATTTTATTATCTTTAGCCTCGGCTGAGCGGCTCTGTGTTGTTGTTTTTTGTTTAGTTTTCAAGAACAAACTTTTAGCTCATAGCTCCGTAATCTCTTGACCGATTTGAGATCTTATTACAGTTTTGGACTCGTGAGGTCAAACCCTTTCGATTGATTTATTTGATCATGCCCAAGGTCTCATAGATTAATTTATTATAACCCTGCCTAAAAGAATTTAAATTTGAGGGTGGGGTGGTAGAGATCCTGACGACTCATAAAATCGAATCGGGTATACGCGTACCCCACGCTTAGTATTGCTGGCACATAAAAATATAGCTAATAAAAAGGGAAACAAAGGTCTCGTTCATTAATTTACTCTAATCCTGCCTAAAAGTGCCGATGCTATTGAGGATTCCCTCTGTTTTCGCGAGTCAACGAAATTGAAACAACAGCTGAATTTAAAATCATAAACAATCTAATTTGTCCAAATTTATAATTAATATAATATAATATATAATATAATATAATTAATATAATATTGGAAAATATTTCGTTAGCAACAATCTGTGACGGACAAAGTTTCACTCTGTTAATTAGGGTTGTAACATTACGTTCCCTTTGGTTCAATCTGTTAATTAGGGTTGTAACATTACGTTCCCTTTGGTTCAATCTGTTA